GTATTGGTGGCCAGGAAGACCTGGAACAGACCCTTCCAATGAGGAGTCAGGCAATTTTCCATTGGAACACTTTTGCAGGGATGCAATTGTTCAGGCTGGTATGCTCTTATTGGGAGATAAGAGCATACCAGCTTTCATTTTCATCCAGTCCCACATTTGCAAACATTTGCTCTGCATTTTTCCCCCCAAGCCAGATTCCTTTAGCTGTATTTTATACAGCTTAAATTTGCAGCTGCTGGGTTGTTGTTGTTTTTTAAATTTTATCCAAATATCCCTTCACCCCTCACATACAAGACTTCCTCTATGAATGAGTCACATTCACAGCTGAGTGTATTTGTACAGTTCACAATGGAATAAATTTCCTGACAAAGATTGTGGGCTCGCAGCTTGCAAATAAACTAGAAAGCAGTTAAATCTTCTGCAAATTTTATACTGAAAGTTCCAAAAATCTGGCAAAAGTTTGCATGGTGACTAATTCATAGACATAACCATCCTAGACCAAGAGCCCTCCCCCCATCATAAAGCAAGGGCATCCAACAGTAAATGAGCAGAGGAAGAGAGTTGGGAGAAAGGAAATACACATCAACTCTATGGATAATGAATATAATTCTGGACCATGGGCCAATGCGGGAAAAGGCCTTCCTTTTCTATGGAAGAGGAGTCAGGCTCAGACGCTTGAGGTTACACTAACATCCCACAACCAGTCAAGCCAATTGCTACAAACCAATTACTTCATCCTTTCAATACGTCTCAATCTCTCGAACAATTAAAAGTCGCGGAAGGGGAACTTTATTACTTTCTGTTATTTTTTTCTCTTTTCTTTTCGCAGGCAGCCATGAGCACTTCCTAACAGTGTGTTCTTGTTATACTGGAGAGTGACTGCCAAGGGGAAATAGGGATAGTAAGCCCTGTCAACAAGAACAAGGCAGTCCTTCTATACGGAAAAAGTCCACTCCCTGTCAAACAACAATAATAAAAGACACACCACTCCAGCAAGCAAGCTGACCCTTATCTATGGGGAAGGTGGTGTCCACAAGTAAAAGGAACAGAACTAAAGCACACACAGAACAAAAATAGAAAGCATTGAAGCAGAAGGTGGATGGGGGAGAAATACTGAATAATTGAAGAAATATGCCGTGACAATAATATACAATCAGAACATAGATATCTACTGGAAATCTGCTACCACTATGTCCCATCCATTGTTGCATCCATCACACACAGGATGACAATCATAACCATGAGGTCAACAACAATAATCAATAATACAACTATAAACACAAAAACCAGCACATCCAACTGGTCAAAAGTAATAGCATGAAAACAACATCTTTATCAAACACCAGCATAACAGCTGGTTGAAAACTCTCTTCTTTTCTTCCCTTTTCTTACAAAACTTCTTTTCATGTAGGGTGTCGTTAATGGCGAAAGCAAGCACATACTGCCAAAACGAAACCACATAATACACAAGGGCACAACCCTCACCCAATACAAGGAAGTGATCAGCTCCCAGGGGAGACTATGTTCCACCACAGGACCAGTCCATACTGTTTTCCAGCGAAATACGCTGGGCGAGACTCGGGCCTGTCCCTTAAGCAAGTCCGGTTGTGACCCTTACCTTGTGACCGAATTCGGGAAAGGTTATCTGCTATCCTTCTGAAACCTATGGACTCTGGTAGTCCAATAGGCTATTTTTCCATTTCTCACAGCCAGATTCACTTAACAACTGTGTTACTAACAACTGCAGCGATTTGCTTAACAACTGTGGCAAGGAAAGTCATAAAATGGGACACAATTCACTTAACAACTGTCTCACTTAGCAACAAAAATAGTGGGCCCAATTGTGGTCCTAAGTCAAGGACCAGTTGTATGCAGTCCAAGTCAATTCTTCTTTACCCAGACAAGTCAAAAGGTTGGACACACCTGCTCTAAATCTTGCAATAATCCACTTATATGCCTATAAAAAAAAATAAATCAAAAGCCAAGCCTGCTGGCTTCTGGGAACTGGAAATGGGAGGAGGCCGACTCTGTCATGCCCAAAGGGAGGTCGAATTGTCATGACTCATTCCTGCCCAGGGGCAACACCTAGTCGTGACATCTTGGCTGTTCTTGAAATGTGTCCAGAGAAGGAAGTGAATAAGGAAGGATGGGGCCAACCCTAACCTCTAATTTTAGATCTAGAACGAGCTTAAGATGTTACTGAGTCATCTCTAAATCAGCTTCCAGTCTAACAAATTACCTTGTGTTTGTCCTGAGGGTGAAGGGACAAAGGGCCGTGCTATATTAAGCCAGAAGGCTTAACACAGCAAACAAATTAGGGAAGCCTTTTTTCAGTTGGGTTCGGGAGGTCAAGGCCTTGGAATGGACTACCCGGGGAGATGGATTTATAGGACTCGTATATCAATGACAATCTGGGTGGAACAGCTGTACAAATTCAAACACAATGCTGGGAAGACCACCTGAGACCTTGAAGGAAGTATTAGGAGTAACTATGGCCAAATGCTATGTAGCACATTCAAGCAATAATCTTCTTCAACTGCTGCTCCACAATTACCACACACTGAAAATACCTCTCAAAATGGAGTCTGTATAACCACTAATAGATGTGTCCTGCAGGTTTTTATCGAACTCGGGGGTGAGTAACTATGGCCCCTTTAGGACTTGTGGACTTCAACTCCCAGAATTCCTGTCTGGCTGCCTCAGTTGGAAGTCCATAGGTTGTAAAGTTGCCATAACTGCCCACCATGATCAAACTCATTTTAACCCTCTACTTCTTCGAGAATTGAAGTCTAACATAAACGGCTGAGGAAGGACAACCTACATGCTCTTTTGTATCTATGCCATCAGACAGTCATTATGTAACTGATTGAGAAATGACTATATTCAAATACCAATTTTAAAATCTTTTTATTATATTCAAACACGGTAATTTCAATTCCCTGTTCTTTAAAACAATGGCAGCTGTGCTGCTGAATAAACAAGTACAATATAGAGACTTCTTTGGAAAAAAAATACTCATGCGATATTGCACATTTAAGTTTCTCTGCATTTTTCTTCTGGTATTTGTTGGCAATGCAGCCATATAGAAAATACTTCTGTTATGTACAGATATTTATGGAGGAAGATGGGGGGGAATCCCTGGACCAGGACAGATGGAGGGAAGAAAAGTGGGGAATCGGAAGAGGGGGACATGGCAGAAAAGGAAGGGATTATTTATTTTGGCAAAGGAGTCTTGGCTCATGATAGCGCAGGAAACACACACACACACACAAACAGGATTTTCGGGGGAGTACTTTGGACCCGTTTTTTCTCTTGGAATTACTTCTAGCCCTCAGTTTCACTTTGAAGTACTTCTAGCCCTCAGTTTTAACATTGAAAGTATTGGATTGCATGCGTGCAAGGAAGCGAAATATGGGACCGCCACTAAGCTGGAACTCCAGATTTCTTCTGGGAGACAGATGGTGCCCAGGGAGCTAGGAAATGAAAGGTCAAGGAGGGAGAACTGCTGGAGAAGCAGGAGTGGAGGCTGGCAATTCATGTCACCGTTGTCAAGTATGGGCTTTGGCTATGGCCTCTCTTATTGGCTTCAAGCCTCACGGTAATAGTGCCAGCATCATCACCAGGCTGGGTGTTGGCAGAAGGCTACGGTCCAAATGGTGGAAGGAAGGAAGGAAGGAAGGAAGGAAGGAAGGAAGGAAGGAAGGAGAAAGAGGCAGGTTTCCTTTGGCCTGAGTTAGGCAAGAAAGCTCAGGTACAACTCTGAAAAATCCACCTAGCTTTATAGACATTCAAAGACCGCAGAGGAGAGGGGACAACTCAATCTTTGCACCTGAGTATTAAGATGCAAAGAGAAAGGAGCAGAACCTCCACAGCATTGCTGCCTCTCTCACCCCACCATCGACATTCATTGTCATCCTCACAAGTAATCAGGCGCAATTCTCCAGCCTCCCCTGGTGGATGGCCAAGAGATTTCTCATGGCTTTGGGCTAGCCAAGGCCGCTGTGGGGTCCCAGCCAGGGGTGGGATTCTACCAGTTTGCACCTATTCGCTAGAACCGGTTGTTAACATTCTAAGCAGTTCGGAGAACCCGTTGTTAGCAGAAATTACTGGCCTAATCCTGTAAGGAAGGCAGGAAGGAAACATTCTGGTGTTGCTTACAGAAACTGCCTCTCCGTTAACCCTTATCACATTCTTGGCAGGACTAGACTTCCTGTCTCTGGAACTTCTCTGGATGTTTTTTCCCCCTCCTTTGCTGGTACTTTGCTTGTGTGGAGTGACCATTCAAAT